TAATTGCTGAAGGTTTTGAAGCCGCTTCGTGTCTCACATCTGGGGGAATGGTCAAGTGTTAGACTAGGGCTTATGAAATGCTATATATATTTCTATTAAATTGCTGTAGTAATAGTCAAACAATAATAATGATGGAAAACGGAACCACTGGAGGTGTTAACAAAACAATTTCATAGCTTAAATCATTCATTTAAAAAATACCATACAGAAGTAATATCTATATATTCACAATGCAACCATCAGATGAAAAGACACTGCATCAATGTGGAAGGATCCACATATAGTTAGATGAAAGAATCACAACAATGTTTTCAGTTCAGTTTTGGGTATTTTGTTCATAGAACATAGTACAGTTTCCTTGTTATTAACATTATGATGAGTTCAGTAATGCTATAGCAATTTAATAGAAAGTGATGTGTGTGTATGTGTGTAATTGCATCAGCTCTAGTCTAACACTTTGTAGCAAAAGTCTATAAAGGGAATTTTATTTAGCTCAAATTGAGAGGGGGTTGGCTACTAGGACCCTGCGAGACAGTCTCCCATATATATACCAAGAGTTCAAGGGATCTAAGAATTGATGCAGAGACAGAATTCTCCAATGTAAAGTATTTATTAAAGGGGAAAATCACACCTTTAATATACATGCACACACTGATTCAAGGCTCCAGAAATCAGGGGTTACCTTGGAAAAGATGTTGAGGCAGAAATATGGGTGATACTTACCACAGATGAGGCTTTCTCTAGGATCCAATTGGATGATGTGGCGTGAGACACAACCATTCCAAGAGCGTGGGTTTGAACGGAGGTGCCAGTAACTAGACTAGAGAGCATAGTGATGTAGTGTCCCATGAACTCTAACTGAGGGGGAAAATCCAGGGATTTTTAAGGCTAAAACTAGCTACAGGGCAAAGGTGTGAGATTGCATGGGTGAGGTAATCCAGTCTGGCAATATTCAAGGTGAATGGGAGAGGATTAAGTCGTAAGCTGGCCCATGAGGTGAGACATCTAGGCCATTATCGCCCATTCTTCTGATTATGGAGGTGATGATGGTCCATTTGCAAGTCCCACACTATCTGCCTGGCCTTTTGGGGTTGGGGTCTTTCCAGTCTTCCAAGTGACCCAGGTATGATCTGCCTGCCATTGCCTTGGTGAAACTTGGGGTCCATTGCAGTGTACATCTGGGGTTATATGGAATTCATACACACACCAACATTCAGAAAAATGCACTTTTGGTAGCAACTTGCTAGTGAATAGTTGCATGGATTCTAATGTTTTCTCTTTTTTAAAAAATGGTCAAGTGCATACTAATCATTATGGTTTTGTATTTGGAGAACCATATCTCTCCACTAAGGTCTCCAGGGGAAGGCTTTCGCTTGGTCCCACCACCATCGCAGGCTCATTTGGTGAGGAGAGGAGGGAGAGTCTTGGTAGCTGCTCCCAACCT